TTAAACAAAATGCAGTGAAATATACAGCTGCATGAATGCACAGAAGAAAACAGTTGTACGCAGAGATGACATCAACACAAATGGCATCACTGACTCACACTCACACAGAGCACATGGAAACTAGGGAGCTTTATTGGTTACATATTGTGCTGCAGAGCCAACAGACAGCATTAGAGCCAGAGGATACATGCAGACAGGCAGCTTCAACTATACACATGCACCCAAGGAGCCCTGAGTCACTGCTCATGGCTTCGCCCTGGTTTCCAGCAACAGGGTCCGGCCTCCTTGGTCCCATGCTTGGAGCAGGAATGTAGAAGCTGCTGCACCTAGACTCCAAGGGGCAGGGGTGAGACCAGAGCACCTGCCTGAGCGAGGATGTGTGGACTGGCAGATACTGATGTCCCCTAGCAAAGGGGCCTATAATGCAATAACAGTTTATTTGAGGGCTATTTCCCTAGCCCTCCCAATCTTTAAAATACAAAAAAATAGACTTTATTCTCTTAAAAATACATTCCGTTCAGTACATGTTCTGAGCTGTGAAGCAGCAGGAAAACAGGGCCCCTTTCCTATGATCTTGGTTCTGAGGCTTTGAGGAGACCCTGGTCCCCACCCAGGGTGTTCAAAAGATAAGATCATGCCTAAAAGCAGTCTTGTCAGAGTAACAGCAAACCCCCACACCAACAAAGGCAGCTAGGGACTCAGAGGCAGGGTCTCTATTCCTTTACTGGGAGATGCTAGCACTTGGCACTAACCCACTAAATATAAAGAACTAAAACTGCCCCAGGACGACAAGGCCAAGATCAACATAGACTCCCACACCCCCTGAGGGGGGATGATTTATGTGCAAGCTTGCCTGTGGCCGAGGCTGGAGTCCCTAGCCCCATTGCAAATCCTTTTAACCCACACCATACCTATTTCAGTGCCACTCGAAAGCAAAACCAGCCCTGGCTGCTTTCCCCACCTTCCCTGCAGCTTTCTCCGGCTGTTTTCAGTACCAGAGTGGTGAGAGGCAGGCGGCGGCAGGTGGAAGAGACCAGCTCTGCTTCCTCCAACCAAGCAGCCCTGGAGTGCCAGGTTCCCCAGCCTCGCTAGGAACCCTCCCACAGCCGTACACCTGCCAGTAAAATTGAGTTAGAGCCAAGCTGCAGAAGAGGCTTGTGATAAAGCGGGTTTGTTGGCTGGGACAGTAGGAACATTCGGCTTGATTAGACTATTCAAATACCAGGTCTTTCCTTTATTTGGAGGTCTCCTCCAGGACCCCTGATGGTGAGGCCTGGGTCCAGATGGTCACACCTAGATTGCTTTTTAGAAACGTGCCTTCCAACTTTGGAATTTGAGAGCCAGCCACTTGAAGCCCAGAGGAACTGAGCCTCCAGCCTTCTCTTGCTATTACAAATAGTATTTTCTGCAATGCTGAGGACATTTAAAAATAAAATCTATTTTACAGCGGTTCTAGAAAGTGTGCAGATTAAGGAAACAAATAAAATATTTTTCCTGAAACTGTTACAATCAAACCCTATTGCACTCAGATTTTAAGATAGCAGCCCCAGCAAGAGGGTACCACAGCTGTCCCTCTTCCACAGAGCATTTTGGGTAGCGGCAGATGTTGGTGCTGCTGAAATGTGGAAAGATCCAGACTTTGGCACCAGGAGCTACAGCACCAGAATCCAGGGCTCCAACGCCCAAGGACGAGAATTATTGGCGAGATCTTTGTAGGCGTGGCTTGGCGCCCTTCTGTTTCCACCAGCAGAGAAGAGCCACAGACTTAGTTTCCTAGCCCCTTAGTTGACCACCACAGAGGTCAGTTTCCTTTGGACTCTCAGGGTTGCCAGCCAGTGAAGGACAATGACAGGGAGGCTACAAGTGAGAGGCTGCAGCCTTGAGCAAGCTAGTTTCTGGCCAGTGACCCAGGAGAAGCAGCAGGAAGAGATTCTGAAAACAGCATCGTAGGTTGAGTATCTGAGGCAGCAGTGTGGAGGAAAGGCAAGCCACGTGACAATGCCCTTAGACAGGCAAAACTCCAGAAAATGGAAGTATGAGCAAAACATTCCTGTCCCTAAAAGTAAGGTAGGTGCTCCCCAAGCCTCCTCCAGGATTGCCAGGTCTGATGTAGACAAGGACAAGATGAACGCTGGTTCCCACACTGAGTGGAGGCAGAGAAGACAACTCAAGAAGCACAGGAACAGGAGATACACCAGCTTGTGTCATGGGAAGCACCTGGCCTGAAAGCCAGGAGATACTGTGTGGCACTGGGCAAGGCTGGTGCCAGAAGGAGCCGTAGAGACCATCTCATCTAACCCTTCATTTTACAGACTGGAAAAGTGAGGCTGAGGAAGCTGCTCTGAGGTCATCCTCATGACATTAAAACATGGGGAAACTGGAAAGAATAAGGCCTAGAAAAACAATCAAAGGCAGGGAGGAGGACACATTATTCCCCAAACCCATTTAGATGATACCTTCCAAAAGCAAGACACCCTCACAGGATGGTGGAAACAAAAGAATCTTAGAATGCCAGATTTAAGACCCTAAGAGACCATCCATTTCAAAGAACTCATTTTACAGATAGGAAAACTGAGGCCCTGAGAGGACAATGACTTGCCCAAGGTCACACAGCAAGGAAGTACGAAGCCATGAAGAAAATTTAGCTTTCCTGACTGCTAGTCTAATGCTCTCTTTCACTATAAAGGAAGAGTGTCTGCTTCATAAAGGTAGCATCTGAAAGGGATCCCTTCTTTGAGAGAATGCTACAGACAAAACAGTGCCAAGAATATATGGTTCTTTTTAACTTCCCATGTGAATGTTATAAAGAAACTAATCAATTTTTATTCATGTGGCTTCCTAAAAGGTTTGCTGCATTTTGAGCTGTATAAACCTGGGGCCCTTAAATGGGCATGTATTACCTTTTCCTCCAATGAAGTCATCATAATGATAGTTGGTTTGCAGGAATCAGGGGCCCACTTCTGTAGGAATGCATCAGCTTGGTAAAGTGCGATACCTCCTCCGTGGGGGATGAAGGAGGAGGAACAGAGTCCATGCCTTTCATGGAGCTATTGCTTTGTGGAGTGACTAAAGGGAAATCGCTTCCTCCTGTCCACTTTCCCCCTTGCTGGGCGCTTCCTAGAAGGCAGAGTATGCTGGGTCAGGCCCAGTTTAGTCTGGGAATAGTCCAAAGGTGGAAACGACGAAGTCAACTTCAAGTCTCCAGCCACAGGAGAGGAGCAAGCAATGCCAGCAGCATTATTGGTGCCCAGGGAAGGAGATGCGTGAGGCTTGCGCACTTCCACGTGCCTTTGGAAGGTGAGCAGAGAGACGGGGTTGGGGGAGGGATGATGTCATTCCAATAGGTGGGTACCCGTGTGCTCTGCCCCCAGGAAACAGTGGTCAGCAGGGGGCCAGGTCAGAGAAGCTTGAACCTAAAGGGTAGTCCCATAATGGCTTAGAGGCAACAGACCTCTTCTGCCATAAAAGTCTGAGGAACTCCACAGGGCAAAAGAATAGAAGCCCCTAGATGGAGCTGAAGGCTGGTCAGTCTTAGTGGGTACTTAGACCCCTAGGGCCAACGAGGAATGAACTGGATGCGGTGAGGAGACTAAGAAATCAGAACATTAACCACACAGAAGGGGCTGCCCTATGACACAGAAACAATCCACCAAGAAGCAGAGAAGAGCTTTTGGCTGCCGTTGTGTGGTAGGGACGCAAGGGGTTTCTATATCTTTCCCCATTTGGGGGCCAGAATGACCCATCCTACCTGGGGGACAGGGACAAGGAGAGAGGACTCATGCATCAGCGAAGGCTGGGCCTGGGTGACTATGTCCAGCTTGTAGTTTCCGATCCCCTCTGGCCAACTGGCAAAAATGACCTGAGCCACAGCCTGGCTCGCTGCCTCAGTCTCCCAGCCAAGGCCTGGTGTCTGTCTAGCCTGGTTAACTGGCCTTGGAGCCTTCACAGGGCGGGAAGCTGGGAGAGCTGAGAAGCAGGAGCAGAGGAGACAGCAGAGCTCACCCAGCTGGCTCAGTTCTCCTCAGCACAGGGCCTGGCTGGCCGTAACCGTTCCTCGGCCCGTACTCGCCCAGGCTCTGGCAGCCCCTGCTTCGCAGGCAGTTCAGACTGTTCCAGAGAGTTGTGCGGTCGCCTGTAGACACTGAGTGTACAGTCGTCACCTTCCTCCTGTGCCAATAAATGACAAAAGTGAGCGGGGGGGGACAATACAGTGAATAAGAAGACGCCCTGACTCCCCACCCCAATGGTCCTCTCCAACCTGGCAAATGGAGATTTAGCACATAGAGTCCATAGCATTAACTGCAAAGATATGCTCTGGCCTGAGGACAGGCCAATATAAGACTTCTTTGGGAATCAGGGTAGACTACGAACTCCAAGCTGCTAGGAGCTCCTAGAGAAGACGGGAAGGCTCACAACAGAACAGGAGCCCTATAGAGGTCAAGGCCTGGAATGGGGGCACAGAGTGGGCCCCTAAGCAGGGGCCAGCAGTCCTTGAGTTCTGCACATGCAGGCTGCATGCTTCTCAGGGTGAGAGCCATTTCCTTGGGCGGGGGGTGGGGGGGTGTTGCTGAAAAGGAAGCTGGACGGCTCTTTTCCTACTTCTCACCTACAAACCACCAAAAAAGCTCACATGCTGCCCTTTCATATCCCATACCTGCCCCTCATCCTGTCTCTCAGATATCCAAAACTTCAGGGACCTAAACACCCGTATGTTTCTCCGCTCCTCTTCTACCAGAATTCTGCTTTTCTAATATTCTCTCCTCCCAAGCAAATGCAGATCAAGTATGAGTGCGAAAGTCAGGTTGGCAGGGTAGAAAGAAGATGGGATTTAGAAACAGGAATCTTGGATTCAAATCTTAGTTCTTCTAGTAATTCAGTTGGGTGGCCTTGGGGAAGGCACTTTATGTTTCTAGCTCTCAGTTTCTACATCGAAAAAATGGGGATGATGCTCAAGATTGAATGAGATAGTGGGTGGGGAAGTGCTTTGTCAAACATTAAGTACCATGTAAAGAGTTACAGGGCTTTTCAAGTTAACACGCAGTTACCTGCCTTTGGAAAGAAGGGAACAATGTCTAGGTCCAAAATGTCTTTCATCATCATAGGCTCCACATCTAAAAGACACTCCCGGGGGGCTTCCCCTTCAGATGCTATTCTGACCCTCAACTAAGGAGGTGGTTCTGGAGTTATCTATCATGTAATGAGCCATACTGAACCAGCCCGGCTCTCAGACTGATGATATAATGGGCTAGACAGGTGTCTGAGGCAAAAGAAAGTGATGGTCGGGCATAAAGCTTATAAAGTAGGCCCAGTGTAAGCCCTAGCTCTCCTCATCCCTACATGCCAGCAGCTGGCAAAGTTCTGCAGTCTAAACTGAGACAGGTCAGAACTCGTTTCCCTGGCTCCCATCTCTGTGCTCTACAGAAAGGGCACCCGGCTTCCTCCTCTCACCCAGAGCTTCCCAGCAGCTGCAGCTGGTTCCCCTGCTTCTAGGTGCTGCTCTGCGGGGCCATAAGGGAGCTCTTTTGGCCACTCTGGCAAACCAAGAGCACGCAGGCCACATCTCTCCTTTTTGTGTGGCCTTCACGTGTGAAGGCAAAATGGAGGAGACAAATTAGGAGAAAGACTGTGGAAATTCATGCCACTCTCTGCCAAATACCTTCTTCATGATACTTGATTCTTCTCACCTTATTTTCAACAGTTCTCTGAGCTACCCAGTTCTACCCAGTGTTTCCCAGCCCTACAGTCTCCACAACCCTGAGTCACACAGGTGAGGGCAGAACAGAGTACAGGAGAAAAAGGGAAAGTGAAAGGAGGGGGAAGGGAGAGAGGACAAGGAGGGGGAGAGGAGAGAGAGAGAAAGAAGCGGGACTTACCATGCCCGCTGAGTGGTTCCAGGCTGCAGCCGTGACAGCATCTACCCGATTCCGACGAGTGAGCACCTCTGACACGGTGAGGCTACTTTGGGTCCTTCTGGAGGAGAGCTCGGGGGCATCCCCTGCATTTCCTACCCTTCTAGTGCCCTGCTCAAAAAGGTATGACCTTGGCTGTTCAAGGTCTGAATAGTCTGTGGAAGACCTCTGGGTGTAGGCATTGGTAGATTCTACATTTTTAACTATTCCAGCTGATGGGTCTTCTAAAGAGTTCAAGTCTCGCCTGCTCTTCCAGGCATTCCGCACAGTAACATGTCTGGCATCTGAAGAGCTCACTTCTGAAGGGGCACTATGGCTTTTCCACCTGATTGTCTCCGCTGGGGGTACATGGCTATTCCTCTCCACAGGATCTGATGGCTTGATGATAATGCTGCTCCGAGAGACCACTGTTTCTGGCCTGTTCTTCAGGGGCCCATCTCCCGTTCTTTCAGCTTCTGTAAACTGCAGGGTGATGTCATGTTTGTGAATGGAGAGCTCAAAGGGGGAGCTGACGTGGTTGCTAACTGACGTGAGCTCTGGTGGCCCAACCTGGATGTTGCTGGTGGAGGTGTGCCTCTCCCGCAGGCCCTCGCCTGGGTTGGCTCTGGGGCTGCTGTTGTCAGAGGGGTAGATAGTAATGCTGCTTGTCACTATGTTTGGCCCTGGTTTGGAGGTGGATTTCTGTTTCTCCAGTGTGGCCTCGGTTCCAGATCCTCCCATAATTTTTTTCACATCCTTATCAATGATGACAGGTTTGATGATGGCTCTAGACCGCAAGGCCTCTCTGGGGCTGAAGGGCCGTTGGCTTTTTACCCCGGCACCGTTGGCATCTGGGAACTCCATGGCATTGGTGGAGGCTCTGACTGGTTTCACAGATTCATTTTCATTTTCTGTCCCAACATCTTTATCATTCTCAAACAGGGAGGTTCTGAGTCCGCCTCGGGATTTGGCTTTTTCTCTAGAGTTGAGCTGTTGTTTGGGCTCTGGCTCTGGAGTCATGGTTGTGTTTACCAACTTGGCAGTAACAAGAGATACCACGTCCATGTCGTCATCCGAGTCTGGCTTCTCTCTGCCACTGGATTTGATGACTCGACACCTCAGGGCCTCATGCTGACTGCTGTCTTCCATCACAACTGCTATGGGTTGATCCACTCCTTTATTTGGGGTTGAAAAGCCCTGAAGGATATTCTCTTGGCTCCTGGAGCTATAAGGATACTTTGATAAAAGGGGAGCCTTGGGATTTGGGGAACTGGTATCAGCCTCTGGGCCATTGGCAGTCTTTTTGCCCTTAGAGAGCCCTTCTGAGGAAGATCTTCGAGATGAGGCCAGAGCTCCAATGGCCTTAGAACTGCCAGAGTCCAAGGCCTGAGTTATTTGACTTCCACTGCCAGGCACCTGCCCCCTCTTGCCAAAGAGGGCCTCAGCAGAGGTGTCAGAAGTCTTGTCAGCTCTACCCAGTATGTCGTTGGGAACAGATCCGTGGGTGCTATCGCCAAATGTTCGTGTCGTCTTCTCTACTTTTCCCTTCAACCCACTCTCAGCACCTGGCTTGGGAGCACCCTTCCAAACTTTATTGTGCTCCTGAGCAGCTGGGGGGTAGCGGCTAAGCACAGATGGCTGCTCCCTGGCCTTCTTCCCTTCACTCTGAGAGGAGCCAGATGCAAAGCGATCTTCAGTTCTCTTTGTATCCTGAGTCCCGCTGTCTGCGCCTGCCCCTGTGTTGGAAGCTTTGGCTGCCCTCCTGTTGGTGAAACTGGGAGAGGAAACCTGCCTGCTGCTCAGAGGGTAGTTTTCACTATTGACAGCAAACTCTCTACTGCCGTGCCTTTCCCGCTTACTATGAGGGGACAGTTCCCGCGGCGCGTGCCTGGACATGGGGGCCTCGCTCCCACGGCCTCTGAACTTCGTCCTCTCGTGCCTGCCTCTGCTGGACAGGAAGGCCCCCTCTCCCTCCACCTCCCCGTTCTCTAACTCTTTCTGTCTCTTGATCTGTAGTTTTATCTCCTCCAGCTGGCTGGCCAAGAGTTTGTTTTTATTTTGTTCACTTAGGTAATTATCCTGAAGGTCACTGTTTTTGGCCCTCATTTTCTTAAGCTCTTCTTCCAAAGATTCAAAATGTCTAATTTGTGTCTTAAGTTTCTCAATCTCTTGGTTAAGGTCTTTGACCTTGTTGTCTTCCTGATTTCGGTTCTTCTCATTTTCTGACTTGTTCCTTGTTTCATTCTCCACCTGCTTTAGGTAGTCCAGGCTGCCCTTCCTCCTCGATCCTTTGGACGGCAGTGCGGAAGAGATGCCATCCTCAATCCGTAGGTCGTTCCTTTCCAGAAGATTAGAAGCATTCCTTGTATAATCTCGGTTCACTTTTTTGTTCTGTTCCAGTTTTTGAGTGAGCTCTTTTATCAGTTTCTCATTTTCTTTCTCCTTTTCATTCAAGTATTTTCTCTCACTTACAAAGCTCAGAGTTAATGATTTCAGCTTTTCTAGCTCTGACACTAAACTCTGCTCAGTTTTGTCCAGGCGGTCCTCGGAAGATTCCAGTTCTTTCACTTTGACCCTGAGCGTTTCCAGCTCAGAGGAGATTTTCTTTGTCAGGTTTCTCTCCTCATTCAGGCTCAAACAGAGTTGGGTACAGTCATTCTTACTCCTGCTAAAGGCCTCCTCTAGCTTCTCCAGTTCAGCCATGCGTTTCTGAAGCTGCTCAATCTCAGATTTCAGCTCCCGGGTGAGGTTTTCCTCCTCTTCAAGTTTCTCCTTCATCAGCTGACACAGATCTTCCGCCCTCTTAATTTCCTCATCTTTGCCTTCGATTCTCAGCACTCGCTGGCGCAGCACTTCAATCTCAGCCAACATGCTCGAGTTGCTGCCTTCTGCCTGTATCACCTTGTCCTGGAGATCCAGGAGCTCATCCTCAGCTTTCTGGAGGTTTTTTGTGGCTTCCTCCAACTCATCAAGGCGGCGGCTTAAACTCTGTAACTTAAACCGCAGATGGCGGCTAGAGGCAGTGTCTTTGTAGCTTGTAACTTCGGCCATGTCTACTGCCAGCCAGTGTGGGCTCCTAGAGGCATCCAGTTCCACTAGGGGGGATGAGAAATGGTTACCTTTCTCCTGGCATCCACAACCTTCTTTGGCAGCTGGAGACCATTATCAGTCTATAGAAGGAAAGCAGAAAGCACATCAGGCAGCAAATCTAAACTCTGCACTTCCAATCCCCATTGTGAAAAAGAGCTCCCATATATAATACTTGTGCCTAGAACATAGCAGGTGCTCAAATTTGTTGCATGAATGAATTTGAATAAATCTGCGGGAAAACAGGTTCTTTCTGGCTGATACTGAACTGATAACTAGTTTCACCCTAATGAAGAATGCCACCAGTAGCAGCAAGGCAAAAAGACACAGAAGAAATGCCTCACTTCTCATGGCAGCTCTAAGGAATTCTTAACCACTTGCCACCTGCATAATCTCAGGACAGTCGTTAACTTTTCTACAAGTCATTAAATAAACAGCCTTGATTTTACTTATAAAACCAACCTTAGTTGTAAAATAGGGACAATGATGCCTACCATATCTCTCCCCAGGACTGTTCTGAAATAACGCATGGAAAGCTCTCGGTAAGAAAGCAGTAAACAATCCTAAGACTACTAAGAACCACAGCTTCAGGGAAAGTAGACTAGTTAAAAACATCACCCCCTGACACAGGGAGATAAGAAGACCTGGGCTCTGTCAGAGGAGAAAGGGAGGGCTGTATCCCAGAGAACTGATAATCTTGGGCCTGCCTTCACTTGAGTTCAGAATTCGAATTCACACTGCCTTAGTGGTCTGGTATCAACTTGCCGTCACTGAGAAGCTAACCTAAAATGGTCTCAACCTAGTAATATCCCTGGGAAACCATGTTCACCTCCCAGAAGTAAATAATACTCAGGAGAGAGAGAGACTGTCTACCATGGTCACACAAGAGTCCCACAGATAAAGTCCTGCTCAACCTGAGTTTACAATTCCAACTACAAAACACATAGGGATCAATCTTTCACTGTGACTGAACAAAGGAGGTTTATACTAATAAGAACCAAAGTTAGTAAGATAGACTAGAGACCACAAATTAAGTACATTCCAATGTTTAAAGTCATAAAAGATGGAATCAAAAACAAGAGACAAGAACAAGATGCTATCAAGTAGGATCAGAAGATTGAAAAATTAACCAAATAGAATTGCTAGAAATGGAAAGAAAAATGGCAAATTAGATGCAAATGAAGAGAGTATAGTGGTTAAGAAGAGATATGAGGAAATTACAAAAGGCAGCACAGAATTAAAAAGACTGAAAACGTGAAAGAGACGTTAACAGACGGGAAATAAAAGAAAGAGGTCCAAAGATGAGGAAGTTTAAGAGGTGGTCCAAAAGGAGGGAACAGAGAGAATAGGGAGAGGCAATATCTGAAGAGCTACTAGCTACAAATTTCCAAGAGTTGATGAAAGAGTCTCAACCAAGCAGGATAACAATTAAATCTAAACCTAGATACATCATAAGGATACAGCAGAATACCACAAAGAGAAGATCTTCTCAAACAACAAGAAGGGAAAAAAAGACAAATATTCTATGAAAAAACAACAACTGAACTGGCTTCTCAGTAGAAACTTTTAAGTAGATGTTAAGGAGAAGAAAAAAGACATAATATCTTTAAAGTTCTAGGAGAAAATAACCGTAACCTAGAAGTAAATGCCCAGTGAAACTATGAAAGGATGTACAATTAATTGGAAACACTTTCAGAATAAAAGGAAAATAAAAACCTATGTGTTTATTATTATTATTATTTTTAATAATTTTATTTATTTATTTTTTCCCCCAAAGCCCCAGTAGATAGTTGTATGTCGTAGTTGCACATCCTTCTAGTTGCTGTATGTGGGACGCGGCCTCAGCGTGGCCGGAGAAGCGGTGCGTTGGTGCGCGCCCGGGATCCGAACCCGGGCCGCCAGCAGCAGAGCGCGCACACTTAACCGCTAAGCCATGGGGCC